TTGTTTTTATCACTGGATGAATTGGTACTTAGTAACTATTAAGATGAAGACTACAGATGGTAACTATATCTGATGGAAAGCATCTGCCATGGTAATGTATTCAGTAGTTACCTGGAGTCTTAACATGCACTGTTCATTGCCCAGCTTCTGAGAATGAAGCATAATAGTATGGTTTTGTATAAATTTAAGACCTCTATTTGGAGTTATCAAAATGGTGAGTGACAGGAATTAAATTATTGATACAAGTCTAATAATTTTAAACTCAGTGTTTTAGAGGTTTGTCTAACAGGAAGGAAAAATAGTGTTATTCCTCTTCACATAGCATCTCTTGGTGGCTTTGGGGAAAACTGATGAATGAAAAGGAAAGGAACATAAACATAGATTCTTAATGTATAAGAGTGGCCAATATGGAAGTGTTGTTGATCTGATATAAAACCTTTCTTAAGATGTAGGGTCTAGGAATGCAATGCTATTAATTGAAGGGTGGTTAATGGCAATAATGGTGCCAGCAACCTGCAATTTTGTCTAAAGCAGCCCTTTCCTAACTTCTCCAAACTGTATTTTCTTACTGAATTATTACTGCATACTTTAGACTAGGTGCAGCTGCCGTTCTGACAGGCCTTTTCTCATCTCGTGTTATCTAGGATGAAATTCAAAGGCCAATACTGAACTTGCTATATTGGTGTTAATGTTTTTAAACATCTACTTAAATTGAGCATACTGTCTTCTCTTGAGTGATGTTGGCATGACTCAATGCCCTGTATTCTCTTTATGGGTGATACTTTATTATTTTTTTGTGATATTCAAATAGTTAGATGTTAGGTAAATGGGAATATCAAGTCCTTTTCTTTGTTTCAGTTCTTTTCCCTCATATTACCTGCCTGTTTCCTGTCTTTTCTAACATATTTTAACAAGTGATCAAGTTTTTTCAGTACCATACTTCAGAGTCCTTATGGTATCCTGTGCTTTTAGGGCTTCTAAAAAGACAAACTATTTTTAGATGTTTTAAGGTTTCATAATAATCTTCTGATTTTATTTCGTGTTATCCTAGGTTGAATGGAGTGTCTATGCAGTGGTTCTATGTTTGTACTGGTGTTCTAGAGAGGTGAAATGGAGCAGGCAGGACTACATTTTCACAACCATTAAATGGTTTTGAGTGTCTTTTCCCGTTCTGAATTCTTCTTCCTTAAGGTTAACTGTGTTTAAGCATTCTAGAACTTAGGTAATCTAAATCAATATTTATTGTTGAAAATAGGAGACAAAGCATCGAACTTTCTGGTCCAGGTCTTTGTCAAACGTTTGGTAGAATAGTGAGTCCTGATTCCTGTACCCCACTTCTCATCATGTCTTCCATTTTGTCATTAGGTTCAGGAAATATATGTTTCACAAAATACACTACTTCTCAATCTACCTGAATGTTCCTGTCCTCAAGTAATTAAAATAATGAGCAGAGTAAGCAGAGTGGATAAACATACCTTACTTGTAATACTGAACTTGTAAATAATTAAACAATTATTGTCACTGTCAGGTTATTATTCTAAGCACCTTTTTCAGGTTTTGGTGTTGGTTACTTAATGCTATGAGGTGAAGAAATAGCAGTGGAACAGACTAGACACTTGATAACAGGTCTGATTTGTACTCAGTGTAAATAAAAGAAGTCTTTAAACCTCCTTTTGTGATTTTTGCATAATGACGTAATGACTTAGGACAAACTTTTCTTAATACTCAGCTACCAATTAAGTGAGATAAGAAGCTAGCCATGTAGATGGAAAAATATAAAATATCCAAGCTGAACACAAATATTACATAACAGCAACTAATCTGCATAATCATTATAGCTGCAATAGTGGCAAGAGCTAGGCTGATCGTGAGAGTCTGCTCCAAATGATACTTGGCAGGGGATAATTGTTTTACTTACATTCTAATTAAGAAATAATATGGGTGGGAGATTTTAGTAGAGGCGCGGAGTAAGTCGCGTAAATATAGAAATACAGCCACTCAAATGTATTACAGACTTGAATACCTTTAGAGAATCAAATAGTGAATAGGTCTGTCAATGACTTACTGTTTTATTCTACTGGCAACCAAAAGTCAATATAGCAAAAAGAACTTAGGCTATGAAAACCTTTTGAAAATGTAAAAACTGCCTTTCTCCTTCAATTAAGTAAATTGCCTACTATTTTATTGAGTGTTAGGAGATTTTTAATTATTTTTATAATTTTATGAGTAAATGCATCTATTGACAAAAAGGTTGGGAGTAAGGAAGGAACACATACAGAATAACGGAATTTTGCAACCTTAGTATTTCTAAGTTCACTAACATAAAATGTACTTTTTAATTCAGCGCTTTTTGTTCAGTGATCTGTATTTCTATGACTTTCTGTGTCAAAATCCGTAGTTATGAAGGTTTTTAGCAAGTTATGAATCCCTGTGATGTTAAACAGAGGATACTAGGTGGAAGAATCAAGAAAGACAGTGGTTTCATCCTCACTCTGCCAGTGACTTCACTAGTGACTGAGTTAGGCACTTAATTACCACCTCAGTTTCTTATCTGAGAGGAAGAGATAATTAAAACTCCTTTACTATTAAAATCACATTAATTCATTCAGTATAAACTTGTACAGAGTATGAAAGCTTGCTGTGCAATGCAGAGGAGGACCATGCAGCAAAATCTGGTGTGTGAAGTCTACATTCCGAAAGACAAACTCTAGCAGTTACAAAAGGCAGAGAAACCGGTGGGAAGAGAGAAATAAATGGAATGTGTAGTTTTTTAACCAGTCAGTAGCTGTCACAACACTGGGGGGCTCCCTGTGGGTCAGGGTCCTGCCCCAGGTCCCTGGCTGGGGTGGTGGGACAAGAGCCCTGGCTACCAGGAGCCTTCTGGGTGCCAGCCTGGGATCTTAGCCTGTGGATCAGGCTAGGCAAGGTGAACTGGCTGTGGGTTGGCCAGGCTGTGGGGTCTGGCCCACTAAGGCTGGATAGGACAGGGCTGTGGGAGCAGGTGGCCCTGGACAGGGCTGAAATGGCATCCTGAGCCACAGAGGGGTCAGAGGAGACTCTGGGGGAGAGTGTCCAGAACCTTGGAGATGTGTCTAGCTTCAGTGTTCTATTTTATTGCAATGTCTGCTATATTGAGCCTAGTTTTCTCTTTCTTGAATTATAATCAAAACCCTGATGATGGTCCAGGCATTTCTTTGGGACTGATCTATATGGCTTGGTGATGTTATGGGTCACAAATTGCCTCCAGCCACGTGTTACTCTGCTGGAAATGCCTCATGCTGTGCTGTACATCACTGTCCTCTGCAATGAGCTCATTTCTGTAGGTTGTGCTCTGTGCGTGTGCAGTGCAGGATATGTCATTCAATGCTGAGTGCAAAACATCTGATTCACTGTGTCCAAATTTGTCAGTAAATGAGGTCCAGTTATGCAAATACAAAGTACTTTTTATCTTCTGTCTGGTTATTTGCTTAGGAAGTGTACTGAATTACTGTTGTAACTCTGAATAATATGTTATTATCAATACAGCCACATCATGCACTGTGCTGTAATTGCTAGTAAGAACACAGAGCCTGCTTTTTGGGAGGGAAACTGTCAGAGAAGAAAGAACCTGATTAGCTAATTAAGTTGTGATGCTGAGATTCTCTAAAAACAACTGTTGGTCTCCATATTACATTTTTAGCGTTGCTCTACTGTTCTTTGCTGACAGATTCAATGCAACTGCTTTATTAGTTCAGTACTCTCAGGAAGTGCCTGTACCCTTATGTCCAGCTGTGTCCTCAAGGCCATCTCACAGCTATGTGTTTTGATCATCACAGTGATCATCATTCCTACTGTAGTAATAATAATCACATAACAGGCGTCAAGCATCTTTGCTTGTATAATAGATATCCCAAAGGGCATTAATGGCAGTTGATTTCCTGCTTAGTGGCCTACAGACAAGTCATCTGTAAACAAGATCTTGCAAGCTGTTGGTCTCTGCAGAGTGCTTGAAGCAGTAGTGTAGATCTATGTGTGAAGTTCAAGTGCTTGGTACATCCTTCAGCACTGAATCGTGCTGCCTCCCCTCTGCTTGTTTAGCATAACTTGTCAAGTCTTCAGGAAGTCATTAGTATTATGCTGTCACCAAAGGCACACTTGTGGCACAGTCTGATACTTTGCATGTGGTCTGTTTTAAACGATGTACAATCCAGGCTGGCTTTTCCTGTCATTTTCCTTGATTTTTCTGCAGCACCAGTGACTGTAGCACATAGCAGGCAGTTACAGAGCACAACACCCTTTCTGCAACATCCATGAGAGACTGATATGAATTCCAGTGCGTGTGACTCATCAGTAAGCTTGGTGCAGCTGAGGCTCCTCTTTAATTTCTGGCTCTCTGTTCTGTGAGAACCACTTACCGACAGAATAATTCCTGTGATACATTAAACACTTTCATTGAAAAACTAGTTCACTGATAGCATGGCAGCTCCCTGCAGATTCTCTGTGGTGTATTTTGTTCCCCTACACTTGATAATTACTGTCTTGTTACATCATGGTTGTTAGTGAAGGTTTACTCAGATAATTAATTCTAGTGATATTAAATTAAAGTTGTGCATAAATTATGTTCACACTCAGTATGCATTGTTTTGAACTAATAAATCAAAGGTCTTTCAGTGTATATGTGACAAATTCATTTATAGGTAGCTCTATAATTGCATACAGAGCTCTTGTCACTTATGCTGCTTACAAGGAAGGAATATATAGCATATTTGATGCCAAGTATATGTTTTTAAGATGTAATGTCAAGGAGAATATTATTATCTAGTGTTAGTCTGGTGCCTTATAGAACACTTCTATTTCTATAATTTCCAAAGAGATACATCCAAATAGGTTCTTAATTTCATCTCTCAGGAATCCAGGAAGACCTATTTTCTGTTTTTCGTAGCATTTCTTAGCCATAACTTTACTCTGGCTTTCCTTGTCAAATCGCTAAACATTAACTAATCCAAATACTTACTTTGCAGGAGGCCCAGAAGATCAATGGTGGTGGAGACACACAGGCCGATGGAGCCTGCAAACCAACAGATGAAAAAGAGGAGAATGTGGCAGCAGAAGTGGGATGGATGACGTCTGTGAAGGATTGGGCAGGAGTCATGATATCTGCCCAGACATTAACTGGCAGAGTACTTGTAAGTTTTCTGTGATTTTCTATGTTTTTGTTTTAAAGAACATTTTTTTAAGAAGCACTGTATCTGAGCATTAGTGGAAGATTTTTGATTTGGTTTGTTTCATCAGCACTGAGTCAATCCCAATTTTCTCTTTTGGAAGTAAAAACAGCAGACTAATTCCCACTGTAGGGAGAGAGGCAGAGACAGTAAATAAGAAAAACTGTCTTCCAGACCAGTCCCCATCCTACTTCAGTACTCTGGCACCAAGATTTTGAACTGTGCTACAAACAGTGAGTTTAATAATTTCATATTAGGTGATAAAACTTTAGGCCTATTTTATCTGGAATTAAAATTGTACTGGGAAAAACAGAACCCAATTTGGAAAATAAGCACAGTGTTACAAGTGTACGTAGTGGTCAGAAGTATAAAGCAAAGACAAGTTTGAATTGGCTATGCAATGAGATTTGTGATATTTTCAATAGACTAGTAATATGTTCTCTTGATTTTTTTTTATTAGCTTAGGAAATCCTTCAAACATGTGAACAGTTATGTATCAGATAGAGCCACATATTGATAATATGTGGTTTAAAGATCCACTGAAAAAAAAATCTGTAGTTTTCTGATTTATTTGAATATAATTACATTAGAACCTTGTTAAATACTAAATTGCCAAGGTGTCCTGTGTCATTTTGATTAGTTTCCTTGTTAGAATGAATGTACTTCTAAACTAACAGCTAAAGTGATTTAAATCCCATTTAAAACTTCTGAGAATCCCAGTGAGACTTTGTAACTAGTTCGGGTTAAACTGAAAAAGGATTTGTGTCTTTGTTTATTTTGGTTAAGGGATATGTTAGGTGAGTCAATTTGGGTCTATAGAGGAATTGTTTGGATGAGGGAGGGAAGGGAGGAAAAGAAATTGCTCTCCTCAATCAAGTCTTTTACAGTAAAAAGTTGAGGTAACTCAATTGCCACTGTATTGTTTGTTTCTGCAAGAATATTATTTTGATTATTTTTCCTAAAAATATCTTCTTCCCATTTGCTTATGTTAATTGTTGACTTTTATCTGTAGCTTGAAAGTGTGTTCACTGCTGCTTTGAGCACTATATATCTTCTCTGTGAAACTGGCATATTGACATGTTGTCTTATGAAAAGTGGCATTTTGCATGTTTTCCTGAACTCTTCAGCATTAAAAAAGAAAAATCTTAGTTGTGCTTCTTGTTCTAATTCATGTATCAAGGGTAGAAATCACCCAAAACCAGAATCCGCTGCTCCTAGCTATGCAGTGCCAAATTGGCCTGTGTTGTTTTGACTGAGCTATATGTGAGCACAAATACAAACCAACAATCAAGACAAAAACCTAATCTAAATAATATAAAATGCATTGTACTGTATTTTTTTTTTCAACATACTGGAAGAAGTTATTCAATTCTATTTGATGACTTAGTTTACCATTGCATTTTATAACAGACTGACCAATATCACTGGATTAGGTTATTTCTGAGAGTATATCTATAGTCAGGTGTAAGCAACAGGTACTGTGCACACCTGGGTTTATGAATATGACTAACTATCTGAGAAATATGTAGCAATGTATGGAATATGTTAGTTCATTTTGTTTAGTTTAGAAAACAAGATGCATTTATTTTAATATAACACTCAATAGTTTCATTATTTGAATTGACAAGATTCATGGTGGACCATTTCCAATATGAACATTGTCTGTTCATTTAAATTTTACTTTCTGGATATATTTGCTAAAGGCTAACTGCTTCAGTGAACATTCGTGCTAGAAGTAATATTCACATTATTTGTACATTTAGGATGTAAGCAAAATTATTTGAAAATATTAGGACTTAACTCATTAATTCGTACTGATTTAATACAGCCTCTTCCTGGTAGCTATATTTCTGAATCAAAATGTGGAATTTTTTTTTTGTCCCCCGAAGAAGAACTGGTGATTTCACTGTTCTATGAAATCAAAATCATATGAGATATCTGGAGCTAAAAAAATTATGGTACACTTTTACATTGTACGAGTTTAAATTAAAATCAGTCTTATGCATTCAATGTTTACAAAAAAAAAAAGAAGCTTAAAAAGCAGCCCACTGAAAATGGAATTAGGAAGAGTTATAATTGATCTTCAGTTCAGCATGATCACAGCAGTTGTGTAACTGCTGCCTGGTTTTATTTGAGAAATGAAGGAGACAAGTTAGGCCCATCTTGAACACACATCAGTGTGAAGTAGAAGGTTATTTGTGTTTTCTGCTCATGGAAAAAACTTCAATTCTTACTCTTACCTGGACAGTCATTTTCTTCACAGTGAACCTTAGTGGAATGTCGAGTGCTGTTTGTGGAATCTAAACACTCTACTTTTTGGACCTCTCTCTACTGAAATCTGTCACTGTATCTTTGACACTTTAATTTCTTTCCTAGTTACCTTACAAAACAGCTTTCTAATTTGTCAGATCAGTTTGCCCAGGTGCTTTGGGAATGTTGAAACAAATATTTGTATAGTGGGTGCTCCTATAGTTACCTCTTTAATACTTAAACTTTTTGGCTACCTACTAGTGAAGAAAATAAAGGCCAACAGTATGGAAAATACAGGACAAAACTTTGTGTTTACAGGTCATAGTGTCATAGCGTAGTACAAAATTGGACATTTACATCAACATTTCCACATTTTTTTAGTGAAATCTAATGTTTCTGTTAAGATAACAGATGAAAATCAGTACACAACCTTTAAAATATAGACTGGAAGGCCTTTGTAGCTGTAGAACTAATTGAAATATAACTTTTGTTTGTTTGTTGTTGTAAATTATTTTTTTCTAACATAATTTATTAACTAATTTTCAGTGCATCTGCTGGAAATTAAGGGATGTTACTTTTCATTCATGATCTGGGTCATTGGAGACAGTGAAATGATTTAACCCATTCTTAACAAACACTCTGGAATCTTTGATAGAGGTGATTCCCCTCCACACTAGTTTTCTTAAAAACATTTAATTCATTGGTGGTGGTGAGGGAGGGAAGAGTTCTGTAACTGAAATGAAAGTTGAGAAAAACTCAACCATATTCCTAATCCCCTCCTCTCCCATTCCATTGATTAGAGGAAGAATTACATTTAAAGACTAAACAAAGAGAGGAGAAATTTAAACTTGCTCACACCTTGAAATATTTTGCTTTTGATTTCAATTAAGTTTTCTCTTTCAGATAAAGTGTCTGAAACTCTGTGTAAAACTTCTTTGTAAGGGATGTCTGGTCCTGTCAGCAGTGTTTGCTGTGAGTTGTGGAAAAAACACTCCAGGGTTGTAGTTTAATTTTTGGTGGTATTTTTAGTTGCACATGATAGAGCTAACTAGGTGAAGCCAAAGGTACAGGTATTGTGCAAATTAATCTCCCTATGCAGAGGAACTTTTGCACATTCTCTGTGGAAGTGATTCAGAACACTGACAGAATGGCACAAAAGCTTCTCATACTGGTGCTCTTATGTAAAACTGGGTATTGTTTGCATCTACTCTTTCTTAGTTTTTCGGAGCACAGAAGAATTGGTGTTACCAGTTTTGTGTATTGCTTCACAAAAGTGGTCAATTATGTCTGGTTCTTCAGTATGAAATGCTTGTATAATTTCTTAGTATGCTACTCCCTCACAATGTGACTGTTGGAGAACAGGTTTACTGGAAAGAATAGTGTCTCAAATGTATCTTGTTAATATCTCCACGTGTGCCCTTTGCTCACGGTTCCTGTCTGTTTTAATTCCAACAGACAACCATTAGGAAACAGATTTCTGTACTTTGAGTCTCTAGGAGTAGTTTTCATTTTGTTAAAAAAAGTTTTCTTTTCTCTGTTGTTGTGGTGAGCATCATAAGAAATGATAATGGGAAATTTTAAATATTTAAGCCATGAAATTTTCAGAACATTTGACCATTACTTGCTTTATCACTATGTCAGCTGAGTGTCTCCTAGTCTGTAATTCTGTTAATGACAGCAAGAATAGGCAGAATAGACATAAAAGTGGCAGGTGCATGGGATTTTACTAATATTGCAGTTGATTCAGTAGTTTATGTAAATATTGTAAAGATAGAAGTACTGAAATGGAAATAAACATTCTTACTGCTTTAGGAGTAAATGTCTACTCCTGACATTTCAGAAGTGATTTAGGCACAGAGGAATATTCACACTACCCAATTTTATCTGAAGGGCAGGCTTTGGAGGAAGAGATTCATAGAGGGTGATCCAGAACGCCCTTCAATAAGGAATTGTTTTTGTTTTTTGAAGTACTGTAGCTGGCTAGGCGCAGTCCCTACAGTTGTGTGGTCAGAATATCCTTTTCTCCTCCTACTTTAGGTTATAAAAGCACAACTGGAATGTAGTGTTCTTGGTGATGCAACCATTGAAAATGTGACTTTTGCTCTTAAACAACATAGATGGGAATTTGAAGTACGGTTTAAAAATGTGTCCGTATTAAACTGCCTAAGTACATGATTTAATTGAACCCATGCAGTTTTGTTTGCAGTCGATGTTGAGTAACATAAATATAAATAATAGTAGAAGGTAGCAGTTTACTTAAAATCTGTTCAGGGAAATATGATTTACTTTGAAGTGCTGTATAATGCTGTAGATGATGCAAGTATTAGATAAAAATTCCTGAGATGGGTTTCTAAAGAAAAATCAGAAACATTCCTAATTAATCTGAAGATGCAGGAAATTAAAGGCATTTATGAGCTGATTTTGCTTCCTGAAATTATTTTTTTTTAATCATTTGACTAAGAAGAAAAAGACTTCCTTAATTAGGTTGAGTGTTCGATAGACAAAATAAAGTCATATGTATATTGTTGAAGTTGACACAGTTCAAATTAGGACCCAGTTGAATGTGGACTCTCCTTTAAACTGATAAAGGAAAATCATTATTTCAGTTGCAAATCCAGGAGATAAAATCGTGGAAAAAATTATTGTTTGTTCTATTTTTAACACATGGCCTGTAATCAAATAAGAGATATGAGCTTTATATAGCTTGTGCTAAG